TAATGGTTGCATAGTTATCAGTTATGTAATGATTTTTTACGTGTGATATTTCTGATATATTTAAGGGCTGATAATAATGTGCATGTATATGGTTTTAAAGTGTGATCTTCTTCATGGGAATGAAAATTTAAAGTGAGCTGATAACTTAATGTATATAGATGAATGATGAATCATAATAGGGCGAATAAGCAACTGCGTACACTAAATTTTGTTTCCTAAAACTGCGGAAGTTAGGTCATTTTAGGGTTTTGTATTCATGGCCTACTATAATTTACCTGATTTAGGTAAAGTAATTACCGTTTGGTGTAATATTTCAAAACTGAATACATTTTCTCCTTTGATTTATTTGTCAATACCGACCGATATAAAAGTTTGAATATCCAAAATATTCAGATTGGATATATGCAAGTATTAGAAATATAATATCCATTTAAAATGATGTTTCGAATATTTCTCGCATGTCTCATGTGTATCGATAAGTCACGCTTTCGTATTGACCAAAAGTAAATCACTACATATAATGTATAGAATGATGTTTCAAATATTCAACCTATTTTGGTGATCTAATTTTATAGTTGACCGTATATATTTACACCGACCCCTTATTCCGTTGAACACGCTATATCCTTATCCTTATATCACTATACTAATATTGAAATTTGATCATACTTTTTCTTCAAAACTATATGATTAAGAAAGTTAATAACAAAAAAAAGTAGGTTTATAAAAATTATAAAAACAGTTATAATCATATTCAGTGTTTCTAAAAAAAATTGTTTTACTAATTTAAGTAAACTTTTCTTATGTTAATTGTTGCATTTTCTTACATTCATTCTTCATTTCTTCATTTCGATTGTTTTTGGAAAGGTTATTCAGTGTTAATCACACAAACTGTATAACAAGAGTAAAATCAAAAATAAAGTAGGAAATTGAACCAAATAGAAGACAAGAACCGTAGCGATAACTGATTTTGGAAAGGCTAGTATAGCCGTAATTTTTAAATAAGATTTTATATAGCATGACAAAGAATTAATATTTTTCTGTATGAGCAGAAACATCTACTGAGTTGTATAAAGTATAAGTAAAAAAAAAACACAAAGCAAGTTGTAGTAACTTACTAAATTTTATTCAAAAGAAAAAGTAAATCATAAGGAAGAATATGTCTAAAATCTTTTGTTAATAAAATTGAAATTTCCTTTGCAATTTCGTGTACCTTCAAGAAACTAAATTGGTTATAATAATATGTCATAACCTTCTATTATAAAAGACACAATTCTTGCATCTTTTTGTATCAATTCAGTTTCACACAAAAAAATCCAACAACGAAAAAAATGGATGCTT